ACAACTGTGTATAGAAAACCCTGAAAAAGCAACTGATTCAATTCTGTCGTTACCTTTGGAAAATCAACAAGTGGAAATGTTTGTCTATGAGCTGTCGTATTACAAGAAAGATCAGCCATTTTGTAAAGAATAAGGGAAACATACACTTCTTCCCTCATTTAAGGAAAGACAACCAGCCAAGATGTTTCCTGGCCATCTAAAATATGAAGGAAAATACAAAGAGATGTGTGACTCAATACATGACCCTTAACTCAGAGGTGTGCAGTGGAGCTGAGGAGACATTCCTTTGTGTTACCATAAGGGATGTGTTCCAAGTCGTCCCTCATGCCTAATCTCCACTATAAAGCTGTAATACAAATTATGGATTACTACCCTGTGTCTACAAATGAAGAAACAGAGGCTAAGTAACTTGATCGGGGTCACAAAATAGGGCATTCCAAAGCTAGGACTTGAAATTGAGTCTGTCACCAATGTATGTACGTGTACACCTTGCAATTTCTCTTATTCCAGTGGTTCTCAACGAGGGGAAATTTTGCCCCCACAGGGACATGCGACAAAGATCGAAGATACTTTATTTTATTTTATTTAGAGACAGGGTCTCCCTCTGTCACCAGGCTGGAGTGCAGTGGTGCAATCATAGCTCACTGTAACCTCAAACTCCTGGGCTCAAGTGATCCTCCTGCTTCAGACTCCAGAATAGCTAGAACTACAGGGATGTGCCATCAAGCCTGGCTAGTTTCCCTTTTTGCGGGCACGGGAGGTGCAGGGATAGACGAGGTCTCAACTGTGTTACCCAGGCTGGTCTGGAACTCCTGGTTTTAAGAGATCCTCCCACCCCAGTCTCTAAGTGCTGGGATTATAGGCATGAGCCACCATGCCCGGCCGAGAGACCTTTCTAATTGTCATAACCAGGGATGGTAGTGGCTGATACTGGCATGTAGGGGCTAGAGACCAGGAATGCTGCCAAACACCCTACAATGCACAGGACAGGCTTCCAAAACAAAGAAGTATCTGGTCTGAAATATCGACAAAGACAGGGTTGAGAAGATTTGGCCCACACTGTAAGACCCTGCAATCATTAGTTGTGGGACCGAATGTGAACTGCAGGCATTCCAAGGAGGGAAGCATATCACTATCAACTGGCGTGCTGTGAGAAGCCTTTGTGTCATAATGGTGAGATTATGAACCTTAAAAACGTGGGTAGAAATGGATGGCATTTCCGGCCAGCCTAGCACAAAAGAAATGACCAAAGATGTAGAGAAAAAAATAGCAAGGTGCAGTTAGGGGTCAAGATTATTATAACTATGTATTTTCCCTAAACAACCTATAAAATGAAACCACTAAAAATGTATGAATAAAAATTCTGGTAAATCTGCATGTGCTTATAAATGTTGGGACATCTTTGAATATTCCTAAGAAATGGGTAACTTGGTAGACTCCAGGAAGAAAAGAGGATACTTGATGGTCATAAATTTTTGTTTGTAAGGGGAAAATACAGATGATGACAGCAGATGGTAGAAGATCTTAAACAGGTTCTCAGGAAGAAAAGTGACAAATTTCTATTGGACATAGGCCCAGTATTCCATATGTATCACGTGCTATTTGGCAAAATGGTAAACACACAAGCTCAAAGCCAGACTATCTGGGTTTGAATTCCTGTTCCATCACTTACTACTTTTTAAGTTACTTCCCGACTAGAGGCAAGTTACTTAACCTCTCTAGGCCTCCATTTGCTCTTGATAAAATCAGGAGGGTATTTCACAGGGTTTTTTTTTTTACTTAGAAAAGTGTCTGGTACATATTAAGCCATAAATAAATATTTGCTATAGCATCTCATTATATCTTCACAATAATCTAATGAGGCAGGTACCATTACTATTCCCATTTTATTGACAAAGTTGTGGCTTAAGAAGGTTAAATAATTAGGCCAAAGTCCTCTGACTAAAATAGGGTACATGTGACTCCAAACTCAAGCTCTTAATCACTCCTTATATTGTTTCATGAAGGCTAAGAATGCTGAGCTTCAGCAAGCAGGCAATGGGAAGCCACTAAAAGATTCTAAATGGGGAGTATGAATTATTAAAGCAACGATTTACTTAAGAAGGTAGCGGCAATGGAAAGGAGAATGAACTGGAATAGGGAACTGGAATAGGATGGGCGGGGTGCAGGGAGAGTAGAGAGAAAGAAGCCTTTGAAAAAGTATTGGCTGGAAGTGATAAGGCTTGAACTAAGGGGGACGGCGTTGGAAGAACATCAAGAATAAAAAGCAGGCACAGGAGAGTCCAGCAGGTGGGTACCCGGGGAAGTACAGCAAGTGACAGAGCAAGGAGAGTGACTGGAACAGTCAGCTACACCTGACTTTGAAGGCAGAGAGGCCAAGAGTGAGAATATTAAGAAAACAGGCCTGTCTTGGCTTGTTTGGGAAATGACATTAACTGTGTAGGTCTCTTGATAAAGGATCTTCCCAGTGCTACCCAGGAGTCAGAGATACTGAACGCACAGGCTGAATCAAAGGGAGTAAAGGGAAGCTCAGGTATGTAAATTATCAACTGGGACAAGTAAGCACTTAAACAACTTACTACACTGAAGTAAGTTAAGTAAGGTTAGAAAAAAATCCAGAATCCATGGCAATATTTTTCTTACTTAAATGAAAGATTTCACACACAAAAAAAACCAAACCAAACCAAAGTTCCATTAACACTACATATAAGAAAATGCAAACCACATGATAGAATCAAAATGTCATCATGAAATTTTTCTGGACTAATGCAGTACTACAAGAGCTCTTTCTCAGTCTCCACAAAGGACAGGGCACCTGAATTTCAGTGAGAAAAACACATGCATTAAATCATCTCTTCATTCAACAAGTATGCACTAAGGTTCCTTTAAACTCTCAGAATTTCGTCTTTCAACTTATAGACTCCCTCTACTTGCTAAGAAAGGCTAGATTTTGTTTTTCTTCTCTAGAATATAAAATAAACATCAATGGCTCATCTGTGTATTCACTTTCTTACATGCCACGCCTGAACGGTAGTGATGTGGTCAGTCACCTATGGTAACAGAAGACACCTTTGAGAGGACAGGGTTCCGGGGAGTAACAGAGCTTGTGGGAAATACATGCAGGCAGCTATTTCTGAAATTATTTACTACTTTTTAAAATACATAAATCCTTTAACATCTTCAGGTTTTATCAGAGATAATTAGGAAATTCTTCCCAAGTTGGAACAAGATAGTTCCTTTTTTAGATTTTAGAGTTGCCACCGAATGTTACAAATACCCAAGTGTCAGCTGAGGATCAAATAACTCCAATTAATATATTACTTTCTACCCTTACCACATAACCTCTTCCACAAAAGAAAAATTGCTTTTTCATTTGAGGTATTAGCCTATGTTAAAATAATGAATGAAAATGCTACTATTTGAAATCCAAGAGGGAATAGATACATTATTAAACAAAAGCTGGCCAAAATCTGTTGCAGCCATACAGGTACACCTAGCACAGTATTATGCAGAAGCATCTCAATCCTATTGACATATAAGCCAATGCAGACAGCCTTTCTCTTTCTAGCCCCTCTTCCCAAGTAACATCTGTAATGTCAGAAGACAAGCTGTCGATCTGAAATACAAAAGGCAGGGTAAACAAAGCTACTTGGACAGAATTTCAGAAGCAAAATCTAGGATGATTTTACTACACAAATTTAAGCTTCAACATTTTTATGAAACGGGTTAAAAAACCTACTCATGTGCATGTATTCAAACAAATACTATCTGTTAGGAAAGTTCTTATTTAGGCATTTATCTTTTGAATTCACAACGCCCCCCCCCGCTTTTTTGAGACAGAGTCCTGCTGTCCCCCAACCTAGAGTGCAGTAGTGTCATCATAGCTCACTGCAACCTCTAATTCCTGGGCTCAAGTGATCCTCCTGCCGCATCCTCCCAAGTAGCTGGGATTACAAGCACCTACCACCACACCCAGCTAATTTTTTCTATTTTTTGGTAGAGAGGGGGTCCTACTCTTGCTCAGGCTAATCTCGAGCTCCTAAGCTTAAGCGATCCTCCTGCCTCGGCCTCCCAGAGTGCTAGGCTTACAGGCGTCAGTTACAGTGCCCGGCCTGCAATCTTTCTTAACTAAGGCAACATGGGCAAAGAGTGGAATACAGACTGACATATATTCCATGCAGAAAAGTGAATCTGGTAAACTAATTAGAAGATCTTCCATCTATGCATACTTTCATTCTACAATATTTACTGAAGCATCACCTCTAAGCCAGACCCTGAGGGTTTTCTTTTGACTAAGGCAATTAAACAAAGTACAAATCTAATACAGTAACTCCTATATGACTTAAACATTTCTTCTCCCCTCCCATCTTTATTGAGGTATAACTGATCATAAAAATTGCATATGTTTACAGTGTATAGTATAGTGTGCTATAGTGTGCTATTTTGATATATGTATATACTGTGATTACCACAGACCAGCTCATTAGCCTATCCATTACCTGACATAGACTTTTTTTGTGTGGTAAAAAAATTTAAGATCTACTCTCTTAACAAATTTCAAGTATATAATACAGTATTGTTACTACAGTCTAGTCACCATGCTGTTTAATAAACCTCTAGAACTTAGTCACCTTATAACTGAAAGTTTATAAGCAACTGTTAAATTATCTTTGAGTTACCCTCTATCCAAGGATACTTAGAAATAGTAAATAAACACAAGAAATTATTTCTTCTGAATTATTTCCTAAGGAACTAAATGGGATGTTTTATAATAAAGATACTGGGTAAGACAATTTTTGATTAATCAATACCATATCACCTACCTTAGAAAAGACTGATATGCCAAAAGAAATACACACCTAACAACTACACATTGCTCCCTTTATAAGACAGAATGGCATATCACTAAATAAATGTAAAGCTGATCTAACAACAGTTCAGAATGTTTAAAGGCCAGCCAATTACGTACTGGGGGTGGGAGTTGTCATCACAAGCCTTACCTGTCGAATGATACTCTTCACACAACGTACAGGGAGGCCTTGATAGTTGGACTTGATGATCCACTTGAGGAGATGGTGGCCAAGCACTTCGAAGACCATGCACACATCTGGGACACAGTTAAGGACCATTCATGGATGCATTTCCTGGAGTTAGGCAGTTACAAAAAGCAGCATCATTGTGTCACTTGCAAAACATTTATTTCTTTATTAAATACAACATCAATACTATCAGGAATAACAAAAGTGGTCAAAATGAAAAAGCAAAAGGCCTGAGAGACACCAGAAGACCCTAGCTCTTGACACACCCTAGCACCCCCCAGTCAGTAAGTGGCCCAATATTCCTGAGCTCTGGGAAATTAAAGTATTGCCTACCCCAGGCACACAAAGGGCCATCAAAGAAGATCCAACGTGAAAATATGAACAGAGCATTCTGGAAACTGAAGGCTTTATCTTCTTCTCTCCATTTGTGCTCTCAGCTCTGAGTTGCAGGTCTTGAGATACTCTGCTCTGTGTCATCTCTTGCTGGGGCTGCACTCTGCCAACTCCCCAGGCAGAGGGAGGGTGAGGGTAAGACAGAGGCCCTCTCTGCAACCCCCAATCATGTCCTCCTGAGCCCCTCAAAACCAACAAGCACCCACACAACTTAATAGCAGCACAGTCAAAAACGATATTCTCAAAAGAGAAAGGGAAGTCATGAGACACCTTTGCCTGCCACACATTTCTTTTCCAACAAAATGCCTAGTATTAGGCCTAAGGCCATCTTTTTCAAAAAGCAAAAGGAATAACTAATTTTTTTTTTTTTTTTTTTTGAGACAGAGTCTTGCTTTTTGTTGCCCAGGCTAGAGTGAGTGCTGTGGCGTCAGCCTAGCTCACAGCAACCTCAGACTCCTGGGCTCAAGCAATCCTCCTGCCTCAGCCTCCCGAGTAGCTGGGACTACAGGCATGTGCCACCATGCCCGGCTAATTTCTTCTATATATTTTTAGTTGTCCAACTAATTTCTTTCTATTTTTAGTAGAGAAGGGGTCTCGCTCTTGCTCAGGCTGGTTTCGAACTCCTGAGCTCAAACGATCCGCCCGCCCTGGCCTCCCAGAGTGCTAGGATTACAGGCATGAGCCACCGCGCCCAGCCCCTAATATTTTTTAATTTTTTTTTTATTCAGCATATTACGAGGGTAACAGATGATTACGTTACAGATACTGCCTTTGCCCCATCTGAATCAGAGCTTCAAGCATGTCCATCCCCCCCAAGAAACTCTTTGATCTTTCAAGAATCATTAACTTCCATCAGGATAATTTCTTTTTGAGGACAACAAATATTCTATATCATATTCTAACAAAAATGAGAAAACATACATTGAACAATTTTATCTTCAACTAAACAACAAAAGTAAGTCAATACAGACTTAGGAGGAAGATGATTTAGGAGAAAACACTGTGGAAATGTGATTCAAACAAGTAGTTAAAGATTTATTTTAGCAATACCAAGGAAATTTGAATGAGGATGTATGATGTGGTATCAAGAAAATGTTAGATTTATTCAGTGAATTTTATGGTTATGTTTTATAAAGGTTCATATTTTTTCAAAGATGCACACTGACATTACTAAAGCTAAAGGACATGGCTTCTAGGATTTGCTTTAAAATAATTTAATGAGAAAGGACAGATGTAGCAACTATGGCCAGACCACGATAATCATTGAACCTGGATGATGGATTTACAGAAATCCACTGTACTACACTCTCTACTTTTATACATGTTCGAAATTTTTCATAATGAACGTTTCTTAAAGAAAAACTATGACCATCTCTTCCATTAAGCACTGGCTTATATCAGATATACCAACTAGTACAGAAAATACATCACTCCACTTTTACAAGGTTTTTTGCAAAGTAGACAAACTGGGACTAAAAAAAAGAAAACCGGGCCGGGCGCGGTGGCTCACGCCTATAATCCTAGCTCTCTGGGAGGCCGAGGAGGGCGGATTGTTTGAGCTCAGGAGTTCGAGACCAGCCTGAGCAAGAGCGAGACCCCGTCTCTACTAAAATTAGAAAGAAATTAATTGGACAACTAAAAATATATAGAAAAAAATTAGCTGGGCATGGTGGCGCATGCCTGTAGTCCCAGCTACACGGGAGGCTGAGGCAGTAGGATCGCTTGAGCCCAGGAGTTTGAGGTTGCTGTGAGCTAGGCTGACGCCATGGCACTCATTCTAGCCCGGGCAACAGAGTGAGAATCTGTCTCAAAAAAAAAAAAAAAGAAAAGAAAAAAGAAAACCGAAATACTTCTGAATTTACCTGGCAGAAAAATGATCCTCTGCAGGAAGTTATTTAAAAGACTTCGTTCTATCACTCTGGACACAGAATTTAGTATTATTAGTACTATTCAGTACTAACAGTACTCAAGTGCAAGTCTAGGAATGTTGACATTTCAAGCATTTTTCCTTTTATTATCTCAACTAATACTTTATCCTCACATGGTGTTTTGCGGCCATTGGGGCATACATAGATAGTCCTTATGCAATGATTTTAGAAACTTTAAAGCACAAAGAAGTGCTGTCTACCACTGCAAAAAATAAACTTCACCACAATTAATGAAAAACGATTGGTAATTAATTCTGTGCCGAAGGAAGGAATGAAGGAAGGGAGGGAGGGAGGGAGGGAGAAAGGAACGAAGGAAAGAAAAGTTTCTAAGATGCTACTACATTACAAACCCCCAAAATCCTTTGCAGATCACTCTAGGGGATCATTTTAGAACACTTCGCAATGATCCTAGAGTCTTTATGTTGAGAGTGATACAGTAACAAAAGAAGTTTATAGGGGCTTGAAATATTCCCATTTCTTAAAAGTAAAAAGAAAAAATATCAATGTATTATGACCCAGCCATTAGGAAGTAAAGGATACGTATCCCATTCATGCCTGAAATCTTGAAGTCATCAATGAGCTGGACCACCATGTCTTTGTTTGGGTCACTGGGATCACTTTCTCGAACCTATGCAAAGAAAAATGATTACAAGAACACAGGAGTTTAAGACGGAGACTCTTTTCCCATTATACCAACCAACATTGTTTTAATAAAAGTGATATTTTTAAAATAAAAGATTCAGTATTTGAACTCCCTAAAAATACTCAACTTTAATTTAGTATTACCCAGAAAAACCCCTATGTGAGACTTTAAGTCATTAACATTTCTTATATAATTCACATTGTTGCAGTACTTACACATTTGAGCAATTTTATTTCATCCAAGGCTGTCTCTGTATAATGCTGAGCACTTTTTACAACTTTCATTGCAACAAATCTTTTCCCTCTAAAATAAAAAGCATATTTATTTATATTATCAGCAGAAGAAATGATCATTATACAGGTTGATCATCCCTAATCTGAAAATGTGAAATTCAAGATGCTCCAAAACCTGAAATATTTTGAGTGTTGACATGATGACACAAGTGTAAAATTCCGCACCTGACCTCATGTGACAGGTCACAGTCAAAATGTATTCAAAACTTTGTTTCATGCATAAAATTATTTTTAAAATATTGTATAAAATTACCTTCAGGCCATGTGTATCAAATGTATGTGAAACAGAAATGAATTCTGTGTTTAGACTTAGGTCCCATGCCCAAGATATCTATGTATATGCAAATATTCCAAAACCTGAAAAAATCTAAAACGTGAAACACTTCTGGTCCCAAGCATTTCAAATAAGGGATACTCATAATGAGATCTATCCAATAAACAGAAATGTTTAATGAGCTTTCCTTTAAAATAGTACTTTTTAAATTGTGGGGCCAAAATTAAATAGTTGGTCCATGGGTCAAGACAATCTCTTTTATGTTTTGTTGTTTTGTCTTTTTCTAATTAAACTAGAAAAATGTAAAAGTTATTACATATAGTAAGGGAAAGCACTTCTGTTTCAGTTCACACACACGCG